CAGGCCATTAATGGAGTGAAAACAGGTAACAGAGGTCCAATCTCATTACAGCCGGGCCGGGAACACCAAGGGGACGCACGAGCCGCACAGAGCCGCAGCGGCGCCCAGCCGGCCCTGTGCGCGCACACGCGTGTGCGTGTGTGAGTGGGCACAGCGAGACACAGTGAAGAGCCTTGCACGAAGCCAGCATGGCCGGATGCCCGGCAAATGGCTGGCCCCCGCGGGCCTCGTGGTCCTGGGCAGCACCTGGACGGTGGCCGTGAGACTTGTGTGGAACCGTTCTGCACACCCTGGTGGGCACCGTCCTCTCCGCCTTCTGACAGTCCAGCAGTCGAAGCACGTCTCCGTGAGGGCCACCGGGGGCCACAGAGCGCGGAGGATGGCCGCGTGCCGGCAGCGCTCAGCCCAGAGCGGAGGCTGAGAGCCAGTTTCCTCGAGTCTGCACCTTGCCGCACTGTGCCAAAGTTCTTGCTGGGAAGCCAGGCCTGGGCACGGTCCGTGCATGTGCCCAGTGACTGGCCAGGAAGAGATCTGGGCCGTGGAGCAAAGTGGGCCTGCGCCACACTGCATTCCAGGCCGGCTCCCCGTCCACAGCCACGTCCTCGCCCAAGAAAAGCCTCCCGTCCCGTCCCCATTGGTGTCTGGGGGACGTCAGTGGCTAACAGGGAGCCACCCCCCTGGGGGCTTCTCTGGGGCTCATGGCATAGGGACACACGGTCCTCACACCCAGAATCCACAGCTGCCCGCAGCCCGTGCCCAGACGGGGAGCCGAGGCCCGGGGCAGGGGACTGAGCATCGGGGCTGCCATGCAGCCCCGACTTCCAATCTGTTTTCTCTGTGACCTTGGAGACGTCAGAAGCCTCTGTGTCTTCATCCATAAAATTGGATGTAAAAACACCAACCCGCCTCGGGTTTTATGAACCTGAGTGACCCAGGGGACGGCGAAGGGCACCAGCTCGAGTTCAGAGGGTGCCGTCTGCCGCTGCTTCCCGGAGCTCCAGGGCCAGGCCTGCCGGGCTCGCACAGCGCACGCCACGGCCACAGCTCCCGCCGCGCCGCCTGCGCCTGACGTCTCGGCTGCCCGCAGCTCAGCCTCATCCCCGTGGTGGACTGGGGCTGCGGGCGGCGGTGCCGGAGTGGCCGAGGAGGCCGTGTTCCCTCCATAAGTGTCTCTGTCGTGTACGCTATGCCTGTGAGAGAGAGAGGAAAACGGGGTTGGTGTGTGCGTGCATCCTGGCCTCTCTCGGGGCGTGAGTGGAGGGCTGTGGACGGATGGGCCGTCACAGGCAGGGCAGGACGGCCAGCTTCCCCACGCACAGGCCGGCCCTGACCACACGCCCTCCGTGGCTGTCCAGTGCCCTCGGGGTGTCGGCCCAGGCGCCGAGGCCTCTGTGCCGGAGAGCCGCAGTGTTTTTGCCTCTATCTGCTTCACAGCCCTCGTCAGAGCCCTGGCAGCCTCCATCTGTGGTGATTTGTCCTTCCTCCCTCTAAGGCCTTGGCGATTGTCTCTGCACTGCTGGAGGCCCTGCTCCAAGCAGCTGCCCGGGGTGTGGAGGCGGAGCCCCGGGTCCCCAGGAGACGGAGCCCCGGGTCCCCAGCACACGTAGCATGAGGTGAGCACGCACGTGTGTGTGTGAGAGAGAGACAGAGACAGACAGACAGACAGAGACACAGAGACAGAGACAGAGAGACAAACAGAGAGAGAGACAGAGACAGACAGAGACACAGAGACAGACAGACAAACAGAGAGACACAGAGACAGACAGAGACACAGAGACAGAGATAGAGACAGAGAGAGAGACAGACAGAGACAGACAGAGAGACAAACAGAGAGAGAGACAAACAGAGAGAGAGACAAACAGAGAGACAGAGACAGACAGAGACACAGACAGAGACAGACAGAGAGACAGAGACAGAGAGACAGACAAACAGAGAGAGACAGACAGAGACAGACAAACAGAGAGAGACAGACAGAGACAGACAGACAGAGAGAGAGACAGAGACAGACAGAAACACAGAGACAGACAAACAGAGAGAGACAGACACAGAGACAGACAAACAGAGAAACAGAGAAAGACAGAGACAGACAGACAGAGACAGAGAGACAGACAGAGAGAGAGACAGAAACACAGAGACAGACAGACAGAGACAGAGACAGACAGACAGAGACAGAGAGACAGACAGAGACAGACAGAAACAGAGACAGAGAGACAGACAGACACAGAGAGACAGACAGACAGAGACAGAGACAGATAGAGACAGAAACAGAGAGACAGAGACAGAGACAGAAACAGAGAGACAGAGACAGACAGAGACACAGACAGACGGAGACAGGCCAGCGCGTGTCAGTGTCTTCAGGGAAAGCCTGTGAATGCCCAGCTTGTGTTGGGAGGAGTCTGGCGCGGGCTGATGCGTGCAGCGCCTGGCAGTGGCTGCAGACCCTCGCCACTCGTGTGCCGTTGTTCTGGTGGAGAGCCGGGCTCCAGGCAGCCCCGTGTCAGCCAGCTCTGCCCGGCCCCACCGCGCGCCTAGGGCGCCCTAGGTGTCTGCTCTGTGGAAGTGCCCGGTTCCTCGAGGCACTGGCCCGGGGCCGTGGCGACTGTAAGCCTCAGTGCGGCCCGGGCCTGAGTCGCAGGGCGGGTAGGTGTGGTGAGGAGGCTCTGGCGGCGGCAGCTGGGGCTGGGGCCGCGGCAGCCTCTGTGGGTCCGGTGGTCGGCGAGCTTCCCTTGGTCACAGCA